GCACAACTGAAATTTGAAGAAGAAGAAGAAGAAGGAGAGGAGTGAAGATTTTGAGTTTTCTGGAGCTGCCTTTTATAGGCAAATTTTACACTGAAAACCGCAGGGGGGAGGGGGAAGCGGTTTTAGTCTGGCATCACTACAACAAATTTGGCCTACTAGGACAAAAGATTTATTTTGTCATTTTTTTGTTTGTCACAATATGTACGGTGATATGACAAAAATAATATATGTCCTATTTGGTATGCCTAATTTGACAAAAACGTTGTATTCAGAATAAGTCGTCATTTAAAGTGAGTAATGTGACAAATATTTCGTGTCACAATTAAGTTTATCCAATAGGCATCCCATATCGAGACATAAGATACACAAAAGTAACAAATTATATCGTCAGAGTAGCTTTTGTCATATTATGTCTCCCTAAATTGTTAAATTGACAAAGTATTTTGTCATAATAGATAGCAATAATCTCACGACGAGCTGACAAAATGGCATGTTTGTCATAATATAGTGGTTTTGGCTTTGACAAAAGGCATATTCATCATAATATAATGGTTTTGTTTTTGACAAAAGGCATTTTCGTCAGATTTTATTGTATTAAACATAAAAAACAAAAAAAATTCACCACCACAAACCCAAATTTCAGTCCCTCCCAATTTTTAACCATCCAGTTTTCAATCCCCCCAATTTGTAGACCCCAATTTTCAGTCTAACCGACACAATTAGTGATTTTGAATTTTGAACAAAATTTATGGCTAAAAAATTTCCTATTCCGCCAAAACTTGACCCTAGAAATTTGAAAATTTCTCCTTCTCACCATAAAAAAAAATTCCCCTTACCCTAAAACTAGCATGAACCATGCCCTTTGGGCAGGTAAATATTTTTTTATTGTCATCATGCATATATAAATTTAAGGGCTAATACCACTACAACACCCGAACTATGACAAAAATGCCACTTGTATCCTATTCTTTCCAATATTCCATTTGTGTCCTATCTATGATACTCTTGTGTCATTTGTATCCTGACAATTTCGTTGACCAGACGGAAGTCAAATTGTTGTTGACTTTTGCTGACGTGGCAAAAATGTGATAGCCACACAGATGCCACATCATTGACACATCACATTTTAATTCAAAATTAATTAATACGTAGAAAAAAAATCCCAAAATCAAATTCCTCTGCCGAAAAAAAAACTTCAATCTTTCCTCGACTTCTGCTTTTTCGGGTCGTCACTCCTTCTTCTTCTCCGGCGGAGTTGCTTCATCTTCTTCTTCCTCCAAGCAAGCTCCGTTTTCCGGCAGATCTTGGTTCACAATAGAGAGGTCGTCGATTTTCGATTCCTCGCCAGCACGACGAATCAGGGAGAACGAGGGAAGGAAGTTGCTGCGACGAGCGAGGGATCCGACCCCTCTCCCCTCACCCGACCTGCGCTTCTCTAGCCCTTATCGCGCCGCCATTGCTCGCGAAGCCCAAATAACCTCTCAGTATTCGCCTCTCTATCTCTCAAAGATTTCCCCAACCCAGAAAACCATCAATTCCGACGAGCTCACCCTCTTCAATGGCGACGAGCTCACCCTCGATTGCCAGAAGAACAAACTTCAAGCTAGCAACCTGCGGTTTCTGGGTTTTATCGACGGGTATGGAAGGGCAATTTTTCTCGTCCCCACTCCCCAGGCCATTGCTCCACCGGCATCAGATCTAGCGATGGCCGCGCCGCCGCCTACAACTCAACCCCTAAATTGAAACCAAATTGAAAGGGAGGGGAATCATCATTCTCGTCTTCCGCCGTCATTCACCTCGCCCAGCCGAGTCCGAGAATGAGAAAGGCCCCTACGACTGTCATTTGCGTTCCCTGGCCGTCGTTCCTCAATTAAATCTGGTTGCTAGAGGAAGGGTAACCAGAGAGCTAGACCGAGTTATGGTGTTGACGAAGACGATGGGCGATGTTGGATGCAACTAGGAAATAGATCGGGTTTGCTTCGATTTGTCACGAGCACCAAAATCCCTCGCGATTTCGTCAAGCCAAGAGAAGCAACCAGGGGCATGATTCTAAGATCTCATCGTCACGAAGCTTGTGGTTCGTCGCCGTAGAAGAGAGAGGGTGAGGGATAGAGGTCCTTGTGGTTCCGCCGAGTCGGATTTCAGTCGCTCTTCGAGAACGACGATTCCCCTCCCCGGAGAGAGGGCTCCCGGCAGAGGGTTCCACCAGACGGCGGGAGGAGACGCGGAGAAGGGATTGGGAGGGTTTTCTATTTTTTTATTTTTTATTAAATGAAAATTGATAATGAAAATTCCAGGTCAGATGCCACGTCAACGCTGACTGTATTTTCTGTTAAATACTAACGGTCAACGCCAGTCAACACTAACGGAATAATAGTTCAGGACACAGATGGAATATTGGAAACAATAGGACACAAGTGGCATTTTCCGGATAGTTCGGGTGTTCTAGTGGTATTAGCCCTAAATTTAATTATTTCCTAATTTTGATTTTTGTAATATTTTTAGCATTTTTTTGTCTTATAATATTCACCAAGGTAGATAAACTCTTTATTCAATATAATTTGTAATATTAAGAATTGAGATGTCGTGCTTTCAATTCATTATACATATTCATAATCGATAAGTTAGTTCTATTGATATGTTACTCATTTTCACAACATGAAATATTATTAAACAATAAATTTTATATGTTTTAATAAATCATAGTGCAATTTCATTTTGTAGACATTGTGACATCTAATGTGTTCTGTAGATACAGTTATGGTTAATATATATATGGCAAAGGCTAGCATACGTCAGTCGTACGTTGTACGCCTGTGTTCACACTTGGTTTTTACACTTCAATATATTTCGTCGAATCAGAATCATCGGTTATTATTTTTTAGGATAAATTAATCTTGTGGCTTGGGTTACAGAATTAGGGACTGGGGTTCACCCATTAGAGGTTAGGGTATAGTATAATGTTCGAAATTTGATTAATTGCTCTAAATAGTAAAACTCAACGAGCGTACAAAGTACGACTGACGTACGCTAGCATGAACCATATATATATATAGTGATGACTGGTGTACAGTTTGAGAAATCCCATTATATTCGATAGAAAAGTAGATGCATATGATTTGAGAAACTCAATTATATTAGACACAATAATGAACAAAATTTTCATTTTTAATAATAAAAGACCCATATTTAAGGAAAGAAAATTGGTCAGGAGAAGAAAAAAGTAGAAAGAATAATTAAATAAGGCATAATTAAACTCATTTGGGGAAAACATTGAAGGGAATATACAAAATAATAATAATAATAAAATAAGGCATAATCAAAAGACCCATATTTTCTTTATTATTATTATATTAGGTAAATGCGGTTGTAAATAAAAGTTATAAATCGTGGGAGACAAAAAAAAATTTGGAAAAGAGGAAAGATAAAGGATACATATTTTCTTAATTATCTTTATTATGATGAAATGTTAACCCCCCTCTGCCCGCTTTTCAACTTTCCTTCTTTTCTCCCTTCTTCGTTCTCTCCGAAAAACGACCCTTCACCTTCTCCTATACTCTCAAAGAAAACGAAGTCTTCATCTCTTCCTTCCTCTCTCAAAAAAACCGTCGGTAGATGCCTCCACTGGCGATAACCAGCAACGCTGGTGGAGAGATTGATAGGGCAACGATTGGCGAGATCCGGCATTGATGGCAGAGAGATCGAGAGGCAAGGGGCGGAGAGATCGAGAGGCGACGGGTGGAGAGATCGACAGGCGACGATGGCGACGATTGGCTAGAAACCCTAGCCGCTTGCAGACCCCTTCTCCTCTCGTTTCTCACCGAAAAATCAAAACACAGATTTGGTCTTCCTCTCTGTATCAGTTATAATAGTCAATCTACTTCTCTTCTCTTCTATTTCATTCCAATTCCACGTCTCTCCTTTCAATATGCTCACGGTTCTCTTCTATTGGATGTGAATATAAAACTGGGGATTGGTAGTTTATTAAATCTTGGCCGAATGCAAAATCTTGGTTTTGAAGAGGTGACGTTTAAGATCTGGACCAAAACATAAATTGCAAAGAGCTAAAAAAGTCTTCAAGAAAATTAATTCTGAAATATACTAAAATGAAATCCGAAAAAATAAATTGAAAGGAAAAAAATATAAATTACTCCAAAAAAAAGTCTCGGTCGCTGAACCTAGTTACCTTTTAGGACGACCGTAATGACAAAATATGTCGTCATAACATCTCTGTTTGTCACAATATACTATCGAAAACCTCAGTTATATTGACAGCAAATGTGACAACCTTATTTTCAATTTTTGTCACATTTGACCTATCCTAACGGCGATAAAATGACAAACCTTTGTGACGACACCTTTTGTCGTATTATACCTAATATGACAAAATGGGCATCTAATATGACAAAATTACCTCGTCATAATAGACCAATTTTGTTGTAGTGCATGCAGCCCCCACCCCCTGCAACCTCCTGCATGCCAACATGTCGGATTTCGGGTGACGAGGCACAAACCGCTGGGGGGAGGGGCGGTTTGTACATTGACATAGCAAAACCGCTTTCTTGTGGAGCATTTTATGTTGCCGACACATAACCTCTCCCAAAGGACGCGGTTTGTGCTACGGAAGCCATGGAAACCGCTCATTCGAAAAGCATTTCCCGAAAAACACAAACCGCTCGTCTGACAGGCGGTTCCATGGTAAACCGCCGCCTTCCTCGGCGGTTTTTGTTTTAACCGCCCTTGCGTGGAGCTGTTTTTAATCAAGGGTGGTAGATATGGAATTTCTTGGATATGACGGTAGTTTTGTAATTTTTTTAAAACAATAGGTTTGGATTTTTTCCCATTAATGGATTGCTTGCCACTGCCGTGCTTTTCTTGCCTCTTTTCATTTTTAATTTTTCATTTTTCATTTTCTGCAACTGAAACTTCTCTTTTTCCCTCGCATTTATAATCCCCTCAACAAAAAGCCAAACAAACAAGTAGAAGAAGGAAAAAGAAGAAGAAAAGCAAACAATCAGAATCCTAATCCTCTGTTCCTTCTTCTTCTTCCCAATCGAAATTTCTCATAATATCAGTTCAGCTTTATCCACAATTTCCTGCTATGGCGGCTGACGGCGGGGCGATGGGAGTGGTGAAAAGGGTGATTAGCGGCGCGTCCAATTACTTCCACTCCCTGGCGACGGAGACGCCGCACCGGCTGCGGAAGAGGGTGCTCGCCACGTGGACGCCGGAGCAGGAGCTGACGCAAGTCCGGCTTCGGTCCGGCGCCGACATGAAGCGGAAGCTCCAGTGGTACGACCTGATGGCGCTCGGGATCGGCGGAATGCTCGGCGTCGGCGTGTTCGTCACCACCGGGTACGTCGCCGGGACGTACTCCGGCCCGGCGGTGTTCATGTCTTACATCGTCGCCGGCATTTCCGCGCTGCTCTCCTCGCTCTGTTACGCCGAATTCTCCGTCCAAATCCCCGTCGCCGGCGGCGCCTTCAGTTACCTCCGCGTCACTTTCGGTACGGTGAATTGTTAATTCATTTTTGCCACTCCATCTCAAAGAGCTAGATAACTCTTTATTATTCTATTTTTCACCATTTAAACTCTTTTCACCTAAAATCACGGTAAAAAAAGCAAACTCTTTCTATCCAGTATACACCTCCTCTTTTGCTGGAATAAGCGTGCATGCACTCATTTCAACCGTCGAGAAAAACACGTGAAAGAACAATCTAACAACATCAAGACATGATGTCATGGTTCTTGCGCACAAACATGATTTGTCAAAATTCGGTGGCTTTTCGGTAATGTAGTTTGGCATTTCTGATTGGGTAACTTTTTGTTGTTGTCATGTAAAAAAACAGGGGAATTCGTAGGGTACTTTGCGGGGGCAAATATAGTGATGGAGTATGTGTTATCAAATGCTGGGGTTGCTAGGAGTTTTACTGATTACCTTTGCCGTGCCGTTGGGGTAAATGACTCGAACCTGTGGAGGGTTAATGTGGACGGGTTGCTGCCCGGTTACAACAACCTGGATTTCCCAGCTGTTGCTCTCATCCTACTACTCACCCTCTGCCTTTGCCATAGGTTGGTTGGTTCCTTTTCTTTTCTTTCTCCTCTTCTTCCTCTTCGTGTTTCAATCGTAAAAGTGAAATGGTGATGTCAATGATTCGGAGATCATGGACTTTTGTTTATGACTTGAATCAACAGTTGTTGGGTCCGAGTCTTGAAAATGAACATAACGACAAATATTATATGATCTACACACGTAAAATGCCTTTTTTTTTTTTTTTTGGCACAAACGTAAAAATAAAATGACTTTCTATATCATTTGAGCCGGCTAAAAATAAAATGGCTTTTTTTATGCATGGTTTTACTAAGGTTTTAGGGGTTAACCTCGGATAACATTTTTTTTTTTTTTTGTAACCTCGTGATTATAGGATTCCTTAAATTCTAAGATACTCAAAAATAAAACAGAAAAGACAATCAACTACTAATCAACACTTCTAATAATTTCTTTCACAAAAACCAATTAAATATATAATTTAATTACAATGTTAATCTTGGTGGTGGTGACAAAAAAATTGTCCAATGAAAAGAACCAAAGTATATTTATTTGACAAAGGCAAGTGGTGATTTCTATACCAGATCAGACCAGACCAAGAAATCAAAACATCATATAATACAGATCATGGATCAGATTAGATCATATTTAACGATCTACGTCCGGGCCAAACTATGCGATCTGTTTTGGAACATGATTTTTCAAATGGTCTGGTCTACTTTCCCAGTCCTAGTGATTGCTTTTCCTCCATTTTTTATTTATTATAAAATAAAACATAATAAAAACTAGAATTATTTGTGTGTTCTATTCTAAGCAGCTTTTTTTAAACTTATTTAACAAAAATAGAATAGATATTTGTATTTTTAGCTATTTTGGATTTCATAATAATTGCTCTAACTGATGCATCCAATCCAATGTCCTTCTCTGTGACCATAACTGTTTTCTTGGTTTTGGCCCAGATGTCTTAGGGGTTGTTTGGAAATTGGAATCTTTGGATAAATCCTTTTGAGTCAAAATACACCACACCAGTAGAAGCTTTGTATGTTGGGGGTGGGGAATGACTCGATTTTCATGGCAAATTGATATTTGAATCGAATATATTTAGATTTGGTTTTGATCTTATCAATTATTTTAAATATGAAGAAAAAATGAATTGAAATGAAAGTTTGGATAAGATAGAATCAAACCAAATGAACCAAACATTATTTTAATCTTGTTCCGATTATCATTTTTCTTTTGTTTTTTATCAACTCCTATCTCAATGCGAGGGCCAAATTCTAAAGTTCACTCCTAAATTTTGAGAATCTGACTACTACTGATGACTTTCTAGATCTGTTCAATTTTACAAACATTCTTACGTACAATTCATTTTTGCAGTACAAAGGAGAGCTCAATGTTGAACCTTGTGATGACGGTATTCCATGTGATGTTCTTCGGGTTCATCATAGTGGCTGGTTTTTACAACGGGAGTGTCAAGAACCTGGTGAAGCCTAGTGGGATGGCTCCCTTTGGTGTGAAAGGCGTGGTAGATGGCGCGACCATCGTCTACTTCAGCTACATCGGCTACGATTCGGTTTCCACCATGGCCGAAGAGATTCAGAACCCTGCCAAAGCTCTGCCCCTAGGGATCGTGGGCTCTGTTCTCATTGTATGCGTTCTCTATTGCTTGATGGCTCTGGCTCTTTGTGTCATGGTGCCTTTCAATATGGTAAGCCCTAACTTTCCGTGCTATACTTTGTCATTTCAACTAAAAAACGTTGCTTGATTCGTTAATAAAGATAAAATCTCGCGTTTTATTAATTGTGGTATAAATATCTATCAACGAGTCTCCTCTTTTCTCTCGCGTCACAGTCTCTTATGTCTATTTGCCGTGGAGATTTCACCTTTGGTCGCAACATTGCTGAATTGACGACATTGATCAATTTTGAATTTCCAACATGGTAGATACCAATGGAAGCATCATTCTCGGCAGCATTCCAACAGATAGGGTGGGGGTGGGCAAGCAATGTGGTTGGAGGTGGTGCGAGCTTGGGGATAACTGCCTCTCTACTTGTTGCCATGCTTGGCCAAGCTAGGTACCTTTGTGTCATTGGGAGGGCCAGGCTAGTCCCATCTTGGCTGGCTAAGGTCAACCCCAACACCGGCACTCCTCTCAATGCTACCCTCTTCTTAGGTAACGTTTATGTCCGATACGAATTTTTTTTTTATGTACGTGCTACTGCTGCATTTAAACTCACTCTCGCTCATGTGACATACGCAGGGCTCTGCACGGCATCGATCGCTCTGTTCACAGACCTCAGCATAGTGTTCGAAATGATCTCTCTCAGCACGCTCGTGGTGTTCTACCTCGTCGCCAACGCCTTGATCTACCGACGGTACGTGATCCTCGGGGGAAACCCACTTCCCAACACCTTCCTCTTCCTCTTCCTCCTCACCGCCACGTCCGTAGGACTCTCAGCCTCGTGGAAGCTCGACGCCGAGTGGTGGGGGGTCCCGGTGTTTGGAGGGGCCATGATCGCCACCACGGGGTTCTACCAGCAGCTGGTGGTGGTGCCATACGTTTACCAGCCCGACGACGGCTGCTGGCTCGTGCCCTTCATGCCTTGGCCGCCCGCCATCTCCATCTTCCTCAACGTGTTCCTCATGTCGACATTGAAGCTGGTTTCTTTCAAGAGGTTTGCGGTTTGGGGGTGTTTGATTACTCTCTTCTATCTCATGTATGGTGTGCATTCTACTTATAGAGCCGAGGAGATGGGATTAGGGAGTGGTGGTGGTGGTGAGATTCCGCTGCAGAATTCGGAATCCTCGTCCGCCTGTTCAGCAGAATGTGCATAAGTTGGGGGAGGGATTCAAATGAAATGATGACAAATTGAGAAAAAAGGTATTAAAAAAATGAGGGGTGTGATCAATTTTTGCCCTCTCGTCTCTCCATTTGTCGTGGTAAATATATGGACATGGCTATTCGTCGTCCTAAAAATTTGAATTTATCGCCCTAAAACACATGAAATTACACATTTATCCTTAAACCAATTACCATCCTTTGTTCTCAATCCAACCACCGACAACATCACCTCCCAAGTCCCAACTCCTCTCTCGTCGCCGACCTCTGCGGAGGAAGGTGAGGAAGAAGCAATCGGCGACGTCCACATCCTCTTCCTCTTCCACCTGCCACCTCTGCCTAATTATCAACTCCTAATTATACCCAGAGGACATCATTAAGCTTGATTTTGTCCTCGTCCTTCAACCCAATTACCATTTCAAATCTGATCTCCTAATTATACCCAGAGGACATGATTAAGCTTGGTTTTCTCCTCGACGTCCCTCACCGTCACAGCATTGTGACGATGGAATTCCTCCGATCAATTTCAGCTTCTGGAGCTGCTCGGGAGCTGCGACGATGAGTTTAGCCCTGTAATCGTTGGGCTGTTTGGCAATTTCGGAGCTTGTGTTAATGGGATTGGCAGGAGTGAGAATCGTGTCGATGGACATGATGGCGATGCAGATAGTTGGGTATAGGATCGAGTTCGGGGACAGGAGAAGCACGACGTTGCCCTTTTGGATTCCGACGGCGGAGCGGAGGCCAGTGGCGAGGGATGTGATTGGGGGGAGGGCATTCTATTTTTGTTACTATTAAAACCAGCGATAAAATTGTCCGTTCGGTATGATTTAGGGCGAATAAATTTAAATTTTAGGGCGACGAATAGCGATTCAGAATATATGAGAGATTTGATACTCGAAAAATTATTCACTATTAATTTTAGGGCGACGAATAGCGATTCAGAATATATGAGAGTGAGTTGTAGGATGAGATTAAATTAAAGTAAATAATCGACTATTAAGAGGCCCTAAGAAAACACATTTTGCAAAAGTTAACAATTTACTTAGTATTAGAAGGATTAACGATTGTATTCATTAAAAACAGAGCATACGTACATTCTTCAAGTTTATATCTTGGACAATTTTGAAGAACAAATTAAATGAACAACTCTAGACTCAGTTCAATGAGTAATTGATCAAAATGATCGCCACAAAGGTTTGTCCCAGGAACAAATTGGTAATAGATGTTTAAAATGTACCTAAAAGGTCATACACCTACCACACATTCACACTATAGCAAAACAGTTATTGTCCCATTCCTTTCATATTTTCATAAGAAGATGTCTAGGTAGCTTGCTCTCGATAAATAGTAGGTTTTAAGGGCTAGTTATATGTATGATATTTTATTAATTTTTGCAGAGAATTAGCAAGATAACTTAGTAGCTAAGATAAAAGTATGGATGAAAAGAGAAGAAATAGTTGTTTTAATATACCCGTACACAGACTTTTTGTTACATTTCATTTCTGGACATTTTATTACAACAACACATTATTTTAATAATAACTCTTACAACTTCTATAAAAATAATGTTTTGGAAGGGCTCAAAATACATTCATTATTGATGGATATGGATGGTAATGATGAGGGTTGAGATCATTTGTGGCACAAGAAGGCAATGATGAGCCCAATCTGCAGAAGCAATAATTGGGAACAGTGAGTATCATCAAGCAAAGTAAAATGAATAAAAGGAATGAGTTAGCTTCACTAATTGGAAAAATAACGCTACTATTAATTATAACTGTTTTTAGTATTAAATTTTTGCAGCATTAAATAATTTTTCAGAACTAAAAATTCATATTAATTATATTTGTTTTTTTAAAAAATAAGCATATTAATTACATTTCTCTATCTCTATTTCCCACCGTTTCTTTTCTCAACAACTTTGTTGCCTTCTCTCAATAGACTCCTTTCGGTCATACTCCCGTCGGTAGACCCCTTCTGATCAAATTTTCTCCGACAGACTCTCTCTGACCACCTAAAAAAGGTATCACTACATTAAAAAAAATATTATTGCACTAATACAACTACCATTATACTGATAAAGTTACCTATGCACTAATACATTGAACCAATACAACTATCATTGCACTTTAATATGGTACGCAGTTTTAGTGAAATTAAATGATTGAACCACGTTAACATAATTTAAACAAAAATATTTTACTACTAACTTTTTGTTATAGTCGTTAGTAAGATTTTACGTTCTTTATTAGTGACACGGAAAAAATAAAAATAAAATAGATGTGAAAATCATAGCCAAACACTCTTACATATCATGATATCAACGACTAGAAGCTTAGCATTTAAATTCACGCTCTGCAGCTCTCACATGCGTTCTGTAATCCAAATACAAAATTTGGTTTTTCTTTTGTTTTCTTCCCTCTTCCACGAGGATGGGAATTCGGTAGGAATGTTGGAAGAGATAAGATCGCAAGCAAAGAAAGATGAGAAGAGAAGAGATGGTTCTTCTTCAATCTTCTTTCCCAACTGACACACGCATGCATGACCCCATGCTTCCTGCGTGAACAAAAAGGAAACATGACGTATCATCTAGTGCCCCGCCCCGCCCCGCCCCGCCCCGCCAGCCATATCTCTCAACTTGCTACAAACGTGTGATGAGTAGAGGTGTCAATCGGGCGGGTTCGGGCGGGTTCATTTGGGTTGCGGGTTGCGGGTCGATCGGGTTGCGAGTTCGAGTTGATCAGGTTGTGGGTTACTCGGGTTATGGGTCACTTGGGTTGCAGGTCAATCGGGTTACGAGTCAATTGGGTGCGGGTCAATCGGGTTGCGGGTCGGACGGTTCGGGTTGCGGGTTTTACGGACCAGAACATTGCGTTACTTTTTAGTGATTACTAGTAAGTCGTAAATCGTAACTATATGAAGCTAGCACAATACTTGTAAAAAAAAAGGGAATCACTAGTCAAAGTCAAAGACTCAAAGGTGGAGGGAAACAAAATTTTGGGGAAACATTACAGGGAGAATTATTGGCGGGTCTCGGCGGGTGGGGGGAATCAAATTTTTGGGCAGTAGTATTGGGGGAACCCAAAATTTGGAGAGAAAAGTTTAAAAATAGTTTTTAATTTTTTAAAAACAAGTGAAATTGTTCATATAAATGTATAGAGAAATTGTAAAACGTGTTGATGATGATATGCTTAGGCATCCAGCTGATGGTAAAACGTGGAAGGATTTTGATCGAGATCACCCTTGGTTTGCTGCGGATCCCAGGAATGTCAGACTAGCGCTTCTTAGTGATGGGTTTAACCCATTCGGTAACATGAGCAACAACTATAGTACGTGGCCTGTTGTCTTAACCTCGTACAACTTACCTCCTTGGTTATGTATGACCGACCCTTTTTTTTTCCTCAGTATCCTGATTCCTGGTCCCGAATACCCCAGGAATAACATTCATGTCTATCTAGAACCCGTTATAGAATAGTTGAATGAGTTGTGGCATGATGGGGTTCTTACATATGATGCTCATGCAAATGAATCTTTTCAATTGCATGCTGCATTGCTGTGGACCATCAATGATTTCCCTGCATATGTCATGCTTTCTGGGTGGAGCACTAGGGGTAAACTGGCCTGCCCAGTGTGCAACATTGAGACTTAATCTCAACGTTTGGAATATGGAAGCAAGGAGTGCTACATGGGGCATCGAAGGTGGCTGGACAAAGATCATCATTGGAGGAGGAGTAAGAAGTTTAATGGGAAGCCAGAACACAGAAACAAACCTAATCAATTATAAGGGGAAGAGATACTGCAACAGGTTGAAGCTGCGTTCAGTGGGGATGTTTCTGTTCATGATGGTGGGAAATGGAAAAGGAGTGCTGCGGAGGACAAGTTCAATTGGTAAACAAGATCTTCGTTTTGGACTTTGCCATACTGGAAGTTTATTGACTTGCGGCATAACATAGATGTCATGCATGTGGAGAAGAACATTAGTGACAATGTTATCGGGACGATGATGAGCATTGATGGGAAAACAAAGGATACGCCAAATGCTCGCATGGATTTAAAACAAATGGGCATTAGGAAGGAATTATATTTAATTCCTGTTGGTGATAAGTTTAAGATGCCACAAGCCTTATACACACTAACATCGCTGCAACGTAGGGAATTCTGACACGCCAAAACACAACACCAAACTGCGACCAAGTGTAATCGCAGACCGGGAATGCAGTAACAGGCAAGTTCTATTATCAACCCGGGGTCTAGATCTACTGCTTACTCTGTGATTATCTATTATCTAGCCAACTAATTCGATTGATTGTTGTTTAAAGCAAAAGCAATAAGAAAGCAGGAAATTATTCGGTTTTCTCAAGCAGGAAAGAGTCACTCGGGAATGAGTCCCCCTAGCTCCTTAGTTAGGTTCAATTGTAATTACCCTGGGTTGATTTACTGTTGATTAGACTGCGGAAGATCCAACAGTAGCTTGGAATCTCTTAAGCTGACCAAGCCCTCTCAGTCTAACTACCCGGCAGACGACTAGTCTTCACCGGGATAGAAAGCTGAAGCAATAAGCACAGAACTCCACTACTGGAATTGAATTCCAGTACAAAGCAGTAAACTGGCTAACTCTCGTATAACCAATCTCCTACTATCGAATGAAGAGGCTCTAACAACCTAATCAGATTTTATCTATCTCAGGTTGCAGCAGAAATCGAGAAAAGCTGATCAGACTTCAATCAATTCAATAAACATGCGTCATTCGATTAAAACCAAACAGTATAATCATCCCAAGTCATTACAATCAAATCCCTAACACTAGGAACTAGGGTTCTTCATACCCAAGTGAGAGAAGGGTTCTACTCCATAGAGAGAGAGAAGAAAACAGCAATCGGAGTAGTCATACTCATAATGATGAGGAAAATATGCTTAGGGATGATGATTTCCACTCCTATGACGATCTCCAAGCTCGATTCGACGAAACCCACCTCCAAGATAGCTTCTAGGATGTGTTCTTCGCACTTTCTCTCTCTAGGGCTTTGTTTTTGCTCTGAAAATCCGATTCTCCCACTTTTGGCTCGAAATTGGCTGAAAAACCAAGATTTCCCGACTCACACGGGCAGGCCACACGGCCGTGTGGCTCACCCAGTTGCTCGTGTGAGTCGAAACGCCGCGTATCAATAAGTTGCACTTCAGCCATCCCACACGG